CCAGGGATCCCCCCTGTGACGCTGTTTGCCAGTGCAGAAAGGGAGCAGGTGGAGTGAAATATGTCTGCTGATAGTGGAATTGAGCCAGTTGATTTAAAAGCAGTAATGCTTAAACTGATTAACTTCTCTTTGGCAATCAGGGTTATTCTGATCCTCATTATGGAGTGAGCGTGCTGATAGCTGGAAAGTTTTAATTAATAGTGCATGCTGGTGAGACACGAAATGGAGAATACTGTTAAAAAAACAGAATAGTGGTTTGACCCATTCCACCTCTTCCCAAATTCATTTCTTCAGAGTAGGGGGAAATGAAGTTTGTGCGATGCCACACTTAATATCCTGCCCTAATAGAAGTGGTCACGGTTTCTCTCCGAGGACAGTCCTTTCTGCTAGGCAGACGCTCATTTCCAGGTGTTGCTGCAAAAGAGGTGTGCACGAGCTGGTTCTGCAAGCATGCCCAGAGCAGCCTGCTCGAGAGCAGAAAAGTCGCTGTAAGGGGGAAACCAGTCAGAAATGCTCTTTTCTTCCCTTTCTGTCTCCTCCAAAAGAGCCAGAGGCAGCATCCTCTTATACTTTGTAGGGCAAAAAGAAGGTGTTCTCTCCCTGTTAGCCTGTGGCACGTGGTAGGGGTGGAGGGGGAAAGGAAAGAGAGAATGAGTGCCCTGGCCATCTTCATGCTTCCCCTCAGAGCAGGGTTGTGGTTTGCAGACCAAATACATTGCAGTCCCCCTGTACAGCTTGTTCCTGGGGCGCGCAGGTGCATGTGGCAAGATGTGGCCTTTCCCCCTTTTTTTCTAGGCTTTTTTCTCTGAAATTTCCTGCCATTGCCCATCAGCAGTGCCATTGCTAATAAATCAAGGGAGCATCGATACCTTTGCTGGTATTGAGGTAGCACGGGCCATTTCTAACACTCTTCTGGGCAGTCATGGCAGCAGAGATTTCAAGGGGGAAATATGTAGTATAGACCTGGTGCATCAAGTTCTGTCAGTTCTCAGGTGCTGGGCTACCTCACACTGTCCTTGCTGCTGGAAACTGCTCTTCCAGAATAGGTATTTTGGTGCCAGAACACAACAGTGTAATGTAATACAGATTCAACTGAACTCAGTCTAAACCGGAGAGAGAGCTTTTATCTTCTGAAAGTATTTGCAAACATGTGTGTGAATAACTTTTACTGTATGAAGACTATGCTCTAACTCTTTTCTGCAGAGAAACCTTGACCTGAGGTTGTAAAGAGTTGTGTTTGCTTTAGCCCAAGATACTCACTAACTGGAAGTTTTCTGTGCAGGAGCTCCTCATGGAGATCTGTTGATCTGTGACTGTTTTTCCTTTAATTTTTTTCAAGTGTATTCAGCTTTTTCCTAATACTCTGCATGAGATGTGTTCCCTCTGCTGCGTGGCGCTTGCTTTGGACCTGCTCTGTAGTTTTTTTTCTTTCATGGGTAGTATTTAGAGATGGGCCAAACTGGTTCTAAAACCCACATTGGTCACTTTGGTGTGGGCTCTGTCATCCGTGTTCAGTGGACTGGGTAGGGTAGGAACTTATACCCTCAAAACAGCCTTGAAACTGGATGGGGCTTTGTATTACCAGAAAGAGAAACTTTCTAACACCACAGTAAAAGAAGAAAAAAAAAAAAAATCCCCCCCTACCATTTCCAACTAATATTAACACTTTATGCCAGTTCTCATCGCATCTTTCCAACCTTGTTCTCTCACCTCACATTCCTTTTCTTAGCCTTTTCTTCTTTATGGTCTTTCTAGTGTTGTCATGTGTGCAGCAATGTGTATCTCTAAAACTACTAATCAAATAAAGACTACAGCACGGATGGAAAAGTGCATCTTGAGGGTGAATGTATTGTGGATGCAAAGTATGAGATGACCACTCTGTAACCCTCATGGTTTTAATCATGTGCTATGTGCCCGGTGGCCTCTCGCCTGTGCAAAAAAGCCATACAAAAGCCCAGTGGATTTCTCTGAGGGAAGCTGTGTATCCCTCGTGTCCCAATTCTGCATTTTATGGACGACCCTGTGTTTTTGGGACAAAAAATTGTACGGAACAGGAGGAGAATTTTGTCTCCAAAACACATTCATCCTGAAGTGCTCTCGTTCTGTGTGCCAGACATCTCAATGGTTTTGTGTGTGGTTTTAGAGGTATTTGAATGAGGAGATCCTTATTCCTTCCCTGTTCCTGTCCCAATGCAATCTAAGATCATAAAAGGGGAAGGGTTAACAGAAGCTGAGGTGGATGCCTGCACCAAACAGGTTACCTTTGTCAGTCTTGGCCCATCTGTAGTGGTCCTGTACCTTCCCTGGTAGTACCTTTATTCACGATGGAAGAAAACCATTTCATGTTGCTTCCCCATGCAGCGCTGATAGATTGGGTCTTCGTGGTAGAAAGAGAGTCGGATTCCCTCCTAGGCCTAGAACGATTTTATCTTTCTGAATTGAGAAAGAACAAAACATTGGCAGAAGCTTGAACAGCAGTTGACATAGAGAAAGACTAGAGAGGCTGACACTGGCGTAATCTCGGAGGAGGAAGGTTGTGTTTTCTACAAACAGTTTCAATTGTTCAAAAATAAAATCAGGATTTGGGTTATGATGGAGCTGCCAAGTGCAGTTGTAGTCTATAAAATTCTCACCATGTATTAACAAAAATCAAGGTGGGGGGAGTTTTGAGTGATTAACAAAACACTTTTTTTGTAAAAGAAATAAAGTATTGTGCACTCATACTAGTTGATTGCCAATGTTTTGAACACTGGCAGCAAAGCTATCCTATAATAACTTTTGCTTGATGCATTAATTAATTAACCCTTAACCAACCCTTTTCAACCCTTTTTCTCCTTTTCCCCTTCACCATATTCCCACGTATGTAAACAATTAAAAACCAAAACCAAAACCAAACCAAAACAAAAACAACCCCCAAACCAATACAAAAGCGGGAAATGCATGTGTGGCCATGCCTCACAAAATAGGTCGGATAATTGAAGGGAGTCCCGCAGACCGCTGTGGCAAGCTGAAAGTAGGCGATCGGATCTTGGCTGTGAATGGGTGCTCCATCACCAACAAGTCACATTCAGACATCGTCAACCTCATTAAGGAAGCGGGAAACACCGTCACCCTGCGCATCATTCCAGGAGATGGTAAAGTATATGTTTCCTGCTGTCTTATCTGACCCTCTTGTTGATGTTGTTCCTGGGCTTTTTGCATCAGTCAGAGCTGCAAAGTCATGGAGGACTCCATTTCCACTGCCACCCTGGGAATTAGCGGTGAGGGAGGTTGCGAGTCTTCCATAGCTTTATTTTTTGTTTCTTTCTATAGGAATGGGAGCTCTGTTTTTTAAACGGGGAGGTGCTGATTTTACATTACAAAATAATCATCCATCTGTCATGTTCCTCCACGTTAAAGTGATCTTCTGTAAATTTGATGCACATCTCTGTACACTTTGATTTGATTCTTAGGTTAGTAACGCAGCCTTAGAATATTTGGGAATCACTTGTTAATATGTGGGATTCCTGAAGCTTTGTATATACACAAGCAGGCTACAGAGTAAAGAGATCACAGAAAGGGATAAACACTTTGTCATGTTTTAAGCCATTTGAAAAGAAGATTTGTTTTTATTCTGGGTAAGTTGCTTTTGGGAGCAAGCTCGGTATATTTTGAAATGACTTTGTTAAATGGCGATGGCTCTGGAGCTGCTGGGTGCTTGCAGCCCATCATTGTAGGACCCTAGAGAGGATCTCACTGTTTCAGATCAGAGGGAATGTGCAGGATCCCCAGTAACATGCTGGCACTTGGTACCGACTTCAGGTCATTGAACTATTTAATAAAAATAAGGATCTGTGTTCTATATCAGTTTCATTAAACTGATCCCTAGCTGTGATGCCAAATAGGAACAGAGCAGGAAT